AACACTCTGGTTCACCATTGTTAGTCAGCAACAAGTAGTACAAAGAAGGCAAATAACGCTGGGTTGGTTTAGGAATTTTGGAGAAGCGTCTTAGTTCTGGTGTGCCTGGTTCTTCTTGAACTGTTTCAGGTCTGATTTGAACATCATTTCCAGAAATCTCCTCGAACTCAACAAATTCCTTTGTTTCAGCTTCGGTATTGGAGCTACTTGATTCTATGGTTGATCTATCTTTGTACATCACATTTTCATTGAAAATAACATCTCTGCTTCTGTTGATCTTTCGATTTTTGTAGTCCCAAAACTGATAATCGAAATCATAACCACCATAACCAACAAAGACACATTTGTTGGACTTGACATCAAGTTTACTTCTTTCAGCATAATCTATGTGTACATAAGAAATACAACCAAACACTCTTAAGTGTGAAAGATTTATTTCTTTATTGCTCCAAACTTCCTCTAGTATTTCACTATCCAAGGGAACTGAGGGCCCACGGTTGATCAGGTAAGCTGTAGAAATTTGGGCAATCCGACATGTATCCTCATACTTCTGGCACATTCATTCAGAGTTCTGTTCATGCGCTCTGCTACGCCATTCTACTGCGGTGTCATGGGAACTGTTGTCTCCATCTTAATCCCATTATTTGCGTAAAAATCTCTGAATCTACTATTTATATACTCTCCTCCATTATCAGACCTCAACCACTTGACTTTTAAACCAGTCTCATTTTCCACCATGACCTTCCATTTTCTGAAGGTATCAAAGACTTTTGATTTCTTCTTCAGAAAATAAACCCACACCTTCCTTGTTGAATCATCGATGAATGTGACATAATATAGTGAGCCTGCAAGAGATGGAACTGGAGATGGTCCCCATATATCAGTATGAACCAACTCTAATTTTTCAGCCTTAGGTGTCTTGCCAATCTTTGCAAAACTGACTTTCTTTTGTTTTCCAAAGATGCAATCCTTGCATAGTCCGACATCTACACTCTTTAGATCCGGCAACTTCCCTTTTGACAAAAGTATTTTCATCCCTTTCTCGCTCATATGGCCAAGCCTTTGGTGTCATAGGTTTGATTTTCCATCAGCATCTGCTGCAACAATGATATTCTCTAAGTTTAAGGTTACATAGAGAGTACCAGTATTTTTACCACGAGCAATGACGAGTGCTCCTTTGGTAATCTTCCATTCACAGCCTGAGAAGGTTGTACTATATCCTTCTCCATCAAGCTTTCCAACAGAAATCAAATTTCTTTTGAGTTCTGGACTATGTCTCACACCTTTCAGCTTCCAGGTGGTCTTGTTTGACAACTTTAGTCGGATATCTTATGTTCCGACGATCTTTAATGTTTCATCATCAGCTAGATGAACCTTCGCAAAATCACCACTGACATAGTTCTCCATGATTTCTTGGCATGGGGTGGAGTGGAAAGATGCCCATGAATCCAAGATCCATGATTCAATCGGACTGTTGATGCTTAGCATCATGACATCACCTGTCTCCTCTGTCATGTTGGCAAATTCCTGTGCGCCGATATCTTTCTTCGGTGCTCGATAATCTCTTTTAAAGTGACCCTTCTTGCCACAATTATAACAGGTATAATCTTTCTTTCCCGTTCTTGATTTTCCCCTTTTGGATTTGGATCTGCCACGATTTGAATTTCTTTTTGAAGTTATCACTCTAGACTCTGTGTGCAAGGCTGAGGAGGTTGATGCTTCACCCGATTCTCTCCATCGAATTTCTTCACTCAATACCAGATCCCGAATATCGTCGAATTTAATTTGTTGTTCCCCAACGAGCTACTAACTGCTGTAACAGTAGCATTTCAACTGTCTGGTAGAGATGATAAGAGAATTAAAGCTCGAATTTCATCATCAAATTCAATTTCCACGGAACTCAACTGGGTTGTGATTGTGTTGAGTTCATTCAGGTGTTGAGCCACTGATGCCCCTTCCGCCATCCGCAAATTGAATAATCGCTTCATCAAGTGATCTTTGTTTGAGGCCGATGACTTCTCATACATACTGGAGAGAGCCGCCATAAGACCCGCCGTGGTCTTTTCCTTTGCTATGTTGAAAGCAACATTGCGGGATAACGTCAGTCGGATAACTCCGAGGGCTTGTCTGTCGAGAAGAGCCCAGTCTTCATTCTTCATGCCCTTTGGTTGTTTTCCTGATAGAGGTTGATATAGATTTTTCTGGTACAGAAAATCTTCAATCTGCATCTTCCAAAAGTCAAAGTCCGAACCATCGAACTTTTCAATTTTCACATTCCCTTCATCTGCAGCCATTGCTCCCACTCGAATCTGGCTTCGTTTGGATCGTTTCTGATAATTTTTGCTAACCACCGTGTATTAGAACACCTCTGTCGACAAATTCGTATCGCCGACAAAATTTTTACTATTCACGAAATTCACTATTCACGTGAATAGTAATGCATAGTAACCTTGCAAAAAATTGACAAAATTCACAACCAAAAGCTCTGATTACCAGTTGTTGGGAAATAAACGATAACAAGTAATTTCTCTATAACCAGATTAGTGAGAATGCAAAATAAAAGCGAAAAAATAATACCCGAAATTGATAACGAAGTTTAGCCAATTTTGCCTACATCTCCGGACTGCTGTAAATCTTTTACTAAAGAGAAAATTTACAGGTGTTTACAAAACACACTTGAGAGAGAACTAGAAGATTTTAGGATGATTTTGAAGCTAAATGGGTTAGTGTATTTATAGTTGAAGCTTAAGGATTAATCTTGTAAATTCTCTAAAGTACAATGGCTAAAATGCACTTATGCCGTTAACAATTTCAATCAAAATTTATTACACCGAATTCGGTGGAATTCGATGCCTCCCTTTAACAATCATTTTAACTTTTCTAACAGTAAGCAATCAAAACCATCGACTGTTAGAGTATTGTTGCACGGTTATATTTGTCAAAGTTTATTAAGAATGTTGCTTCTCAGTTCAGCAATCAAGTGATATATAAGTCATGAATACTTCACTGGTTCATTAAGGAAAATTACAGTAATTGCTTTTTAAACAATTCTCATTTCTCAAGACCATGGATATTTAATTCTGCACGTGAAGCTGGGAAATCCAAATTAAATGGTTTAAGTGTGTATAATTTGATGGGTCGAGTTTGTTATTATTCTGTTATAAAACCGTGCACATGGCTAGCATGGGTCTATTTCCTTTTTATGAGGGGGTCACCGTTGATTTTGTGCCTGAAAGTTGAAACAAATCTCTCTTTTTTCCCCGTGGAATTGAAGTGGAAATGGAGGTGACAGGTCCCCTATGGATCCCAACTCAGCACGAAATCCAATGGATGGGGCCGAGAATAGCTGTGAAATATATACCCCATCGGTAATCAAATCTTACGATGGATTGGAGATTAATCATCTCCCAATGAACTATCAACTTTAAGGGGGCCCTTGCATTGCGTAAAACAGATGAACATCACTATGTTACTTTCGTCTCATTATTTGTGTTTTAAATTAACTATACAAATAATTTTATGAGATATATTTAATTAAAATAAATAATAAAATTATCTTAAAAAGTGATTAATAAATTTAATAGATTTTTTATAGGTATAAAAGAGTGAGACATATAAGGTAAAAAAAGAAATATAAATGTTATTGATTGTTAATTTTTCTATAAGGACGTTTTGAATGAGATAATTTTAAAAATCAAAAGAGACACATTTAATAGGATAGAAGGGTAATAGACAAGTATAAATGGTGATGCTTTCGAGGAGTTATGGGGTACGATATTCTAATATAAAGGTAAGGAAATGATCTACCTAAAATATTATAAAGTGTTACTTAAAATATTATAAACAACATTGTTTTGATCATATATTTTTAATATTTTCGTTTGTAATCTAAAATATTATGAAAATTGTAACATTTTCAGTTGCAACCTAAAATATGTTTGCAAAAGAAAAAAGTAAGAAAAAGTTAGTATTTTAAAATATTATGTTGCTTTATAATATTTTAGATTGCGCCTTATATTAATCTTATAATAAGTGGTTGTACCGTAAAATTATCTGATGTTTTCACTGATATTTATTTGTTTTTATCAAATTAAGATATTCTTTATGCACATATTCTCTTTGATAGTTTAGAATGTTAATAAAATAATTTATATTCAAAATCATTTTTAAGTATTCACAATATATACATTATACATTCTGCAGATACAATTAACCTAAAATTTATAAAAAGAATAATATTTTCTTTTATTATTGATTTCGTTCGATTGGTTAAAAAATATAATAATTAATGATCGTTTGGAAAAAACTCTGAACGAGCAGACTTGAAGAATTTAACGAAAAGATAAATTATAAAACATGAGTTTAATGTGAAATATGTTACAGAAATACGATAAGTATTTCAAAAGCACTAGACCTCGTTTCTTGAGAAAACCATTGGAAATAAGTTTATAAATCATATCTTAATATTAGGTTTGCGGAGGGGAATATGTAACTTTCAACCTGTAGCTGCCAAGGAAACTGAAGTCATCATCATCTCTTTAATTGGGGAAAAAAACAGCCTAAAATTTCCGCACCACAAACTGTTAATCTTCACCTATCTTCTTATATTCACCTCATTTCATTCGACTACTACCTCAATTGCCACTCAAATTAAACTTTGCCCACCTTGCAGGCTGTCCCTCTAGTTTCCTTGGCAGGCCTAGTTTTGGGAATTCTCCATTTCTGATGACCGTTTTTATGGCTGAAGTTAGATAATGCAGTTGTCGTTAGAGATTTAGAGAGATGAGAGCTTCGGCTTGAGCTTGTGTCTCAGCTTCTCATTAAAGCATTAAAGGTGAGAAAAACGACAAAACAGTGAAAGAAATGACTTTTTTTTGCTTCTTTATAACTTGTAACAGCTATAAGCATCGTGTCAGAAATTCTGTGTGCCTAGGTTCTCATCGTCTATGGTGTAATGGAGGTACAGGTAAGATCGTTACAAAATTTCTTCAGTGTCTTCCATGGTGGTTCTTGATAAGGAAGAAACCGCACCCACCAGTCTCAACATGTCATCTAAAAAGGATCTTCTTTCCACAGCCATGAAGAGAACCAGCGAGTGGTATAGTTATTATACCCTTTTTTCCCCCTTAATTGTTATCAATTTGTATAAGTTGGCTTCTTAAATTAATAACTTGATCCTTTTTTTTTCCAGGATTTTCTCACAGGAGATCCCCAGTGATGTCACAGTTCAAGTTGGAGGAGTTTCTTTTTCACTGCATAAGGTAGAAATCAGATACTCTTGATTTTGGGAAACATATAATTCCATTTTCCATTCATTAGAATTACAAGCAAACCAAGTTAGCCTCTGGATTTTGTTGAATTTATGGCAGAATTGTGCACTTTTTGAGCTTATTTTTCTATTTGATCTCCAGTTTCCATTGGCCTCTAAGAGTGGTTACATAAGGAAAGTTGTATCAGAATCCAATGATGCTGATCTTTCAGTCATAGAAATCCCCAATGTTCCAGGAGGAGCAGATTCGTTTGAACTCGCAGCTAAATTCTGTTATGGGATAAATTTCGAGATAAGCACCGAAAACATTGCTATGCTAAGATGTGCCGCCGAGTATCTCGAGATGACGGAGGATTATGCAGTCAGAAACCTTGTGGGAAGAACTGAAGCCTACTTGAATGAAGTGGCACTTAAGAGCCTAGCAGGAGCTGTTTCTGTGTTACGTATGTCTCAAATCCTCCTGCCAATTGCCGAGGAGGTTAAATTGGTGAGCCGTTGCATAGACGCCGTTGCACTTTTAGCTTGCAAAGAGAGTCAGTTTTGTATGTCTAGCAGGTCTGATAGTGGCAATGATAGTGTCATTTCTTCGACAATCACTAGCTCGAAACCTATTGTCGATTGGTGGGCTGAAGATTTAACTGTTCTTCGAATTGACATCTTCCAACGGGTTCTGATTGCGATGATAGCAAGAGGTTTTAAACAATATGATCTTGGTCCAGTGCTTATGCTTTATGCACAAAAAGCTCTTAGAGGTTTGGTGAGACTCCATACCAACATAATTGACTTGTATACCGGATATATGTTTGATGTCTAAAAGTGCAGACTCCCTTTCTTGTGCAGGAGGTATTCGGAAAGGGGAGGAAGAAAATCGAGCCACGACAAGAACATGAGAAAAGGGTTGTGTTGGAAACCATAGTGAGTCTTCTGCCTAGAGAGAAAAATGCAATGTCCGTAAGCTTTCTATCCATGTTGCTTCGTGCAGCATTATACCTCGAAACAACTGTTGCTTGTCGAATCGATTTGGAGAAAAGGATGGCCTTGCAATTAGGGCAGGCTGTTTTAGATGATCTCTTGATTCCTGCATTTTCTTTTACTGGGGATACATTGTTTGATGTCGACACTGTTCAGCGAATCTTGACGAACTACATTGAATATGATGCTGAAGGCAGCCATTTTGGATACAAAGAAGAAGATGAGTACAGTTATCCTCCACCAAGTGACTTGGAAAGAGTGGGAAAGCTAATGGAGAGCTACCTAGCTGAACTAGCATCTGACCGTAATCTATCTGTATCGAAATTCATGAGTCTCGCTGAACTCATTCCAGAACAATCAAGGGTAACAGAGGATGGGATGTACAGAGCCATAGATATCTACCTCAAGGTACATCTCTTTTATGATCTTTTTGATAAACAAGTTATATTCCTTAAAGCTGTCATTTTAATTCGCCTTTCGGTTGCAATTAATAGGCTCATCCCACTATAACCGACTTGGAGAGGAAGAAAGTTTGCAGCTTAATGGATTGTCAGAAACTCTCACGGGAGGCTTGTGCTCACGCGGCTCAAAACGACCGTCTTCCAGTCCAGACCGTGGTTCAGGTGCTTTACTACGAGCAGCAACGCCTTCGAGATGTCATGAATGGAAGTGTCTCGAGTGGAGATTCCCCTGCTGTCATTTCTTCCAGGGTGAATTTATACCCTACTGATATCCACCCAGCTTCAGGTGAACTTTCAAGCTTGAAAAGAGAGAATGAGGAATTGAAACTAGAGCTAGTGAAAATGAAAATGAGATTGAAAGAAATAGAGAAATCAACATCAGCAAAATCAGCAGTAAGCAGTCCCATGGGAAATTTTACGCCATCATCTGATAAGCCTCCTTTGCCTAGAAAATCATTCATGAATTCTGTTTCTAAAAAACTAGGGCGACTTTATCCCTTCGTCCGGGCAGACGGAGTTTCAGGTCCAGGTGGCAAAGGTCGAACAAGACCAGCAAAAAATAGGAGGCACTCCATATCTTGACACTACATGTTGCTTTGCGTAAATCATCATTACCATTTTCTGAAGTGTTTAATGTATGTGTTACTTATAAGGCTTGAGCCAACTTGTAGCTCTCATCTACTTATTTTTTTCTTCTTCTTTTATGGGGCACCCTGGTTCTTGGACCCCCTTCCATGTCTGCTTCTTTTGTATGATGTTTCTGTAAATAGTATCATCTTTGTGTTTGATACCACATCATTTATGGTGATCATAGGAGGTGATATCATGGAGGTTTTTGCCGGTCGGAAAGCTACTTCTCTGGAACTCTGATTGATTATATTGTAATTTTTAGTATGTTTTATAATCACATTTTTTCTTGATTGAATCATCAGTTAATATTCTTTTGCTAGGGATAAGATGGGTCCCAAATGAGACAGTTATCTAAAATCATGCACCAGCAAATGGATAATTGGAAATTATTTTATGGTTGAGAATAAACTGAAAGTCAGATACATGAGAGTACGTATGATCCATCAGACAAAATTTCATTTTCTAGGGCCTACAATTCATTTCTCTAGCATGCCCATGTTTATGATCCAAACAAAAACATACCTAACATTACAAGGAAAAAAAAGTAACAAATTCAGTTGAACAAAATCAATCAAACATCAGTTGCACTATGTTCTTCCATATCACTGCAATAATTGGTTCCATACTTCTCCATATCTGATCCAATTCATATAGATGAACTCCCTTTACAGATTTCGCAAGAAACTAACTACTGGAGACGTTCAAGTATCGGTACAATACACTATCAACTATCTCCATAATTCAGTAGAATTGTCATCCAAATCAAGGACTGGCAGAGTATTTGAAGTATGAACAGGGCCGTTTAAGAGCTTAGAAGCATTAGATTTAATATCCAAGTGACACATGACAAACTAAACAACAATCATGAGATATCGTTAGTTCGTTACCTAACCTATAAGATCCATGAAAGCAACCAGTAGCTTTCCCAGGACAAATTCAACAACACCGGGCCAGGCCAGAAAAATCGAAGATGTTCTCTATTATTATGAAAACAGGTGTTAACTGGAACAAATCTATAAATACCAGGTGGAGATAGTTGCCGTCTAAGTGTCAATATTGTTGGATTTCACCTAGTTGAGACATCACACCTCCAGGATAATTCAGAGCCATGACATATTTAAAATATAAGCAGCTTTGTCGGAAACTCTAGTAACCTTTTCACTTATTTACTTCATCTATTGTATAAAAATGATATGCTCGAGACCAATGTTAGTGTGAACGTCAAAATCGAAATAACTCAAAATTGCTCTGGCCGGAATGCAGTTTCACTCGAATCATGAGGCCAATTAGTTTTGGTTCTCACCCTTCTGAAGTAAGCAGGCACACCTTCTCAAGTTGCGTTGGCCAATCTACTCCAAGAATATAGGGGTTCATCTCCATCGCAGTTTGAAAGTCTAACATTGATGCAGAAACGGGGCCCCTCTGATTTGGTGCGTATCTCACAGGCCACATCCCATTCAAATAGGCCATGGGCTGATTCTGGCCCCGGTCAATAAGTTTTTGCCTGGACCTCGTACCAGCCAGTTCCAAACAAGGTTTTATCAATCTCTTCATGTAAACATCGAGGCTATTGTTCAACAAATCGGCACAATCTACTGAGATATTCAATCCTTCCATGATCAACCTTTTCCTCAAAGAACCGGTATCAGGTAGTTCACCCCTGCAACAACAAGTCTCGGAAGCAGATGTTAATCCATTCCGTGGTACTTTTCGTATTCCTTTAGCATTCAAAGTGATGCCAAGTGGAGCTCTCACAGGACTCCTACTGTAAATGCTCAGACTTCCCGTAGCTTGATCGACCTCTTCACCATCCTCAACGGATCCAGGTGGTCTGCTACCCAAAGAAAGCAACTCAGTAGCACTCTGTTGTTCTTGTACTTCAAGAACTGCATCTTCACAAGCAGTGTTATGGCTCTTCCCATGAGGCCCCAAAGGACTTGGGCGGTCCCTTAACTTACGATCGCGAAGATTTGGAGTCCTACTCTTACGAGTGGATTGAGGAAAGTCTTTGCACAGTGACTGAAGATTACTTCTTTGATACCCATTCGGCACTTTAACACTTAAAGGACCTTCCAACTTGTTCGCTATCGGTGGAGGAGTCTTTGAAAGAGAAGCATTTCTAATAATTGATCTGAGGAGATTATTATGAAGACGAACATTTTCTCTCCCTATTGCACCGATGCATAGCTTATCAAACTCAGGTTTGCAAATCTTGAGGCTCAAAAATCTAGTGAGAAGACTGAAGTACTTCCCGGCTTTTATGCGCCCGATCTTCCTTGCAATCTGGGATTTCAGCTCCAAAGTATCTACTGTAGAAACTTTACGACCGGCAGGCATTTCGGTTTCCGAGTTCATCACTATCATCCAAAGTCTAAAATTTCATCCACAAAAATGGAAAACCATCAATATCCATGAAAAATCAACTTAATTCTCAACCAAAAATAAATATCAAAAAACCCAATGTGATGTCATCTACTAACATAGGAAGTCAAATGGTGATCAAAAACAGTGTTTACTGAAATCATCCAATTCCAAAAGTACTACAACTCAAGCAAAATTAACAAAACCCAGACTAAAAAAAGTAGAATGTGCAGTAAATTAACTACATTTAAGTAATCACTCAATCAAAAACCAAAACTCAAACAGAAAGCCAGACCCACAAATCTACAACATTAAAGCCTGCCAATCTCAAGTCCAAACACCTTAAAGAAAACATGAGCAAATTCCATACACTAAAAAATCCAGCTTTATTCCTAAAACCCCAAAACAGAAAAACCCAGACACTGGAGCAGTAAAAAAACCAAAAATTGAAAAAAGGCAAAACCCACCTGAAATAAAGAACTGTGAAACCGAATTCAATTGTGTTGAATTACAGGGAAATAATAATCAGTGAATGAGAAAGTAGAAAGAAAAGAGATTTAGGGCATGAAGGAATCAAGCGAAGAGTTGGGTGTTTTTTTTTTTTGAGCTTCCTTTGAAGTCATCAAGGTCAATGTAACACGTGCGGTATTTAAAATCTGAACTACTGCTAGTTGGGCGTGTCTGATTATGTAGGCGTTTGCAGTTCGAAAATCAATCTTTAATGGATAGTAGATAACCAAGCCATCATCATATGCTTATTAAAATAATTTATTCATTCTATTTAGTGTTTGTTAGTTATTTTAGTTAACAAAATTTCTCTGTATGTTGTCTTTAAATTGTATATGCATATGTATATATACGTTCTTTTTATTATTTAATAATTATTTTTATCTCGTATAAAAATTAATTTAAATATATTAGTATATATTGATAAAAAAATTCAATAATTAAGCTTGTTCAAATTGTTATTATTTACTAATTATTTTAAAATCATAAGTATTATATATATATATATATACACACATATATACATAAACAGTGATTTAAATGAATCCAAACATGATGGAAAACCTCATTTAAAAAAAGTAACCATTTTTAATCTATTTATCAGCTCATGTTTTTCATTAATTCTCTGTTTTTTTTATTTGATTTAAATGACTCAACTATCAAATTAATTTATTTTAATTTAACTAGTTCAATTAGTGATTCCAATTTGATTTTACGACCACGATCTTAAAGAAATAAGCTGTAATACACCAAAAATTTAGATAATGACCAAAATATAAATTTTGAAAGTTTAATAGTCAAAATAGAAAATTGGGAAAAGTTTAAGGAATTAAGTGGTTATTTTCCCAAAAAGAATGTTATTCCATAAATGGATTTAGTGAGTGACCAAATTATAAATTTTTATAGTTTGGTGATCAAAATATAAACTTTAAAAAGTTTAGGGACTAAAATGGTAATTTTAAAAAGTTGCAATTGACTTCGAAAATATATATTATTTTCACATTTTTAAATGTTGGAAAATAATATAAATCTTTGGATTTTAAGATTTAATTTTATGTTTAATCTGTATCGTTTGATTAAAGTGATTGAATTGTAATTTTTGAAAAAAGTTAAGCGCAAATCGATAAACTAAGATATTGTTTGTTCATATTTGACTTATGGATGAAGATAAGGTTCATGTGATATGATTTGGAAGATGATAAGGTTAAGTGTCTTGGTTTAATGGTGATTATGAAGTTTTATTAAGGGTAAATTGGTATTTTCCCAATTTAATGAATTTAATATTCATTAAATGATAATTTAATGGTAGATAAGCATGAAAAATATCTGAAATTTCATGCCAAAGTGTTCATCTCTTCTCCATGGACGTGAGCTATACCAAGGTAAGGAAAAAAATATTTGTTTTCCATTTTTGACTCAATTCCTTTGGAATTCGGGTTATGTCGTGAAATAGGAAAGTGATCTACGCGAAAAACGCTATCATTTTATACCAATATTTCTTTCTAATCTTGCTGGAATTCAAAGATCCCAAATCTAAGGGTTTATGTTCATGATAGGATTCATGAAATTGATGATAAATCTTAATGATTTAGAGATTGTAGATTCATTTTCAAGCTTGATTTATGGTTAAAACATGTTCAATCTTCCTAGAAATAATTCTATAAAATTCGGCCAAACTATAAGTTGATGAAACTTTGTGTTCTGATGAGAGTTAATTAGGGATTTGATAGTAGAGATATTATAAGGTTGATTGAAAGTTGATTTCATGCTTGAATCGAATCAAAATCGAGCAAAATCATGAAAACATAGTTTTAAAGGATAAAGAATTCGAGCATGATGTATTTGAGTGAGAAAAATTATATAAGATCTGGAAATGATGTAGGAATTATTCTACAAGCCTTAGAAAAATTTGGGGACCATTTTGTAATTTTTGAAAAGTTGGAGGACCAATTCAGCAATTTTGGAAAAATTGTGAATGGTTGCATCATTGTTTAATAATTGATGTACTATATTGGAAAATACTGTTTTGGAATTGAAATGAGTGTTTAGATGTGAAATATGACTATTTTGGAAGTTTGAAAAGATTGTTGATTTAAGTACAATATTCGCATAGTTGGGGTACTTAAATGTAATTGTACCTTTGTAAAAGTAATTGGTTGGTAATAATTTCAATGCTGAAATTTTTGGTATTAAGAATCTAAGTGATAAAATGGTGAATGACCATTTTGTGTAAATTGGAAAATTTGGTGCCAATGTTAAAAGGAATTATTAATTGTTAAATATTTGGTAGAAATTGAGTTTCAAGTATATTATGGAGTTGTTATGGGATGTGTTTATGTTAGTACAATACTAACATATGTATTGTTATGAATTTACGATTTATACAGATTGTGATTGATTTGAGATCGAAGCAAGTCATGTATAAAAAAGTTTATTGTGGATCATAGTGAGGCACATATTTTGGAATATATAAAGTGTCAAGGTGAGTGCAATACATGCATGACATTGTACATAGATGTTTTATACATAATGTATATATATGTTTTATACATCACTAGGAAGACTTGCGACAAGTCTACCTTGTTTATATCAGCATGATATTATGTCATTTTTATAACTTCGATATGACATTGATATGTCACGTTGTGAAATTATAATGCATTGATCATGGATAATGTGATATTTTACCATGAATGTTTTCGGGTTATGATAATATACTTTGCCATGGAGGAATCAAATAAAATAGACTATATTGCCCAATTAAGTCATTGAGGGACATAGTATAGTTGGCATGCCATAGAGTATAGCAACTGCAGGCTTATATTACACTATAGTGTGTAAGGATACTAAGTGTATATGATGGGCACGACTTTATGTGTAATACACTTTGGTGTATATGGTGGGCACGACCTTATGTGTAATGCACTTCGGTGTATATGGTGGACACGACATTATGTGTAGAACTATGGTGCAAATATTACTCGAATACCCAGGGTCCTCAGGGTTTTATATTGGGCTATTGTCTATGGTTTATAGTATATTGGTAAATTAAGCTTATGAGCTTATGGGATAAATGGTAAGTATATTGGTAAAATAAGCTTACGAGCTTATGAGATAAATGGTAAGTATATTGATAAGAAATTTTATATTATTTTGATCATGGTAAAATATTGGATATGTTGGTAACATGATCTTATGGCATTTGTTTATGACATTAAATTTCATGCATGAGTTGTATTGCATTGTTTATTATTTTTAATTGCCTCACTAAGTATATACTTAGCGTGTGATGATTTTCACGCGTAGGTAAAAATCCAAGGATAGAGTAAAGAGTAAAGGGCACTCCGAACATCCAGGAATACACTACAATATCAGTAAGACATCATATGATGTAATTTTGACTTTGTTAGTGGCATGTAATTATCAATGTCCTAGTTGCTCTGTTAAATTATTTTGCAACTGGTTTGTAATGGTTAAACTAAACAGTTTTACTCTGTTTCAATATGAATAGTATACATCCATATTAATATATGTTTTAAATAGTATGTGATAAATTGATATGATACAATATTTTTATAATATCATTTACCATTTTAAATAAGAAATTTTAAATCATTCTTGAATTGAAAAATGTTTTTAGCATTTGGGTGACATCTATAATCTGTATAAGTATAATTATACGAGTTACGGGTGTTACATAAGCATTCAATTATTTTGAAATTTCAACCAAGACAACTTTATACCCACCATGAAAAGTACCTAAAATAGAAAGGTAAACGGCAAAGATTTATCGAAAGGTTTGATCATCCATATTGTAACACCCCAATTTGCAGTTTTTTTTAATTTAAATCCAATTACCTAGATTTCAGTGACTATTTTGTGAGGATTTGCAATTTTAAGGATAATTTTTGAAATACTGAAAGTTCAAGGACTTGAGTTTGTATTTTCCCATCTCCTTTTAGCCAAGAAAAAAAATAATAGAGGAAAATGAAAAAATTGAGGCCATCATAGATTGAACCCATGACATAAGGCATGGGAGCTCATCCCCTATAACTAGACTATGTTACTATTACTACTAAAAAAATTAATATTTATTTTATTTCACCGGCATTTGTTAGATATTAAACACCCAAAATCATTCTTTTTCATCCGAAAATTAACCCAATAACTTCAAATGTTCACAAAATAGCCCAACCATACTCGTCCTTCACCGAGGAGTGTCGACTGCCACCATTTAACCAGCGGTGGCGTACACCCACCGCCACCATCAAAATCGCCACCGTCTCGAGACACCAACCCCATTAACCAGCCACCAAACTCATATTCGTTCTTCGTAAAATATGAAAAGATCGTTCGAGAGCCCGTCTTCGATCTCGGTCATCATCCAGAGGTGTCGTGCGCCGCATGCATCAGTGTGCATGCCAGTACGTTGCGATCGATACCCTGGTGACCATCTGTTAAGACTTGCTGTTGTATGTCGTGGAGATCTTGTTGAAGGTTCGTCGAAAAACCCATGTTCTCCTTCGGGTTTCTTCAATTTCAAGTTGAAATAAGCATATGTTGGCCATACCGCCCTTCCCATTGAGTTCCTTGAGCCTTCTCGATCAAAACCCAGTCGCCTTTATTGCTTCGCTATCGATCCTCTGTCAACTGTTGTTAAAGGTGAGCCTTTATTCGTTTATCTCCATTATTTCTTGTTCTATTGGTTGTTGTTTTGATCTGATTTTAGTTGAAATCAGCAAATGAGGTGTTGTGGAGTAATCGATCGCCTGTATCGAACCCCATCTTCGTCGCACGTTCCATCACGCGCCTCTCATGCACGTGAAGCAACTCCTTCAGTCGGATTGTTCTAGAAACTGGTCCGAGTCAACTCGGACTGGACTAAGTTAACTCGAATTGAATTGAGTCAACCCGAACTGGCCTGAGTTAACTCGAACTGTCTGACCCATTGACTTTGACCCAGATTGTTAACTTTGACTTTGACCATGGTTGACTATTGACTTTGACCAAAAAGTTATTTTTTTTTAAAAGTCATATTTTATGTTTTTTGACGTCCTGAGTCCAAATTCAAAGTCCGTTTCACCAGATTCAAACTCTGTAAG